GGATTGAAGAAGGTCGATAGGTACCGTGTAAATGACTCAGACAATATTGAGCATCTTCAACAAGCAAAGCAGAATTGCATGTGATGTGCCTACTTGGAACAGAAAAGTAATTTTAACTTCTTGTGTGGAAAAACTACTTATAGCTGTTTCTATAGAGAAAAGGAAAGGGCACACATAAAACTAATGTAACATTCAGGGTTGTTTAAAGGGAAAGGGACAAAGCTAGAGAAGAAACAGAACAAGAAAGGCGAAGGCAAACACTGTCAGACTCTAATATTAGCCAAGGGATTTGTTTATATTTCGTTGCTAAGGAAAACTTGAAGCTTTGGAAAACAAACCTAAGCACGACACTACAGTGACAGCTGCTGCTTGGCCCCGGTATCCTGCAGAGTTATCAGCCAACTGCTTGCCGTTTGGCATTTCTATTCTGCTGTCTGCCAGCCCCTTGATAATCAGATGACCCTGGTGGTTTCTACAGTCCTCAGGACAACCCAAAGTATGGATGGCAGTGATTACACAATATCATAGAAAGTAGACTGTGCATTTTGGAATGCAGGTTAAGACAGACTGGCCCCTAAATTAAAACCTTTTTTGGAAATAGATGCCATCTGAATTCAAAAGAAGTGAGTTTAAGGAACAGGAAAAGGAGGCTTGTGCCATAGTCTCCACTGTGCCTGACTCAAGGTAAGATAACAAGTGAATGACTCTACACTCTAAGGGCCTCAGAATTCCCACCTGTTGGGTTTGAACTCATGGAGCTTCCTGAGTGCTGGGATTACAGGCTGAGAATTCCCATTTGTAAAGTAAGGTGCCTATCTCCTATCCTTTCCAGCACGTAGCGAGCACACATCTCAGTGCACTTGAGATTTTCAGCGGGGAGAAAAACGGAATTTGTAATTCTAAGATCAGGTCTTTCCTGAAAATGGTAGTCTTTCAAAAGTTCTGCTGTGCACTATGTGTGCACCATAAATAATCTAGAATCCTACAAACCTTGAATTTCTATTGCATTCACTCTTTAGTGATCATGGTCATCTCTAGACTTACACCATAAAAGAGACTATGGTCCTTACAGATACTTTTATTTCAAGTCTTCCTGCCCCACCCACTCCATTATAATGGTAACACTTTATCTGGAACTTTGGAAAATAGAGAGAATAAAATGTTATCCAGAAAAGGACCAATGTTAACATTTCCATGTTTATTACTATTTGGCCTCATAATGTATCCTTTTATATCTAGCTTTTTTCATTTAACAATATACCTATAATTAACTTAGTAAAAATCTATTACCAGTGTAAAACTGAGACTAATTATTGGCCAAATGGTATATATACAGTCTCTTATCTCCTCTGAGAATAAAACCCTCTCTGAAAAAGAGAGCCAACTGTGAAATGTAATGATTAAGACCCATTCCCCAGTCCTATTAATAGCCCCAATTACAACAGCAAATGGAGATTATTTCTGAGAAGTGACCTTCCTCTGGTTAGATCTTGCGTGGTCAGTTTCAAAGCTCCCAAAGCTCACTAATTGGTTCAAATTGGACCTGTGAACACAGGTTTCAGGCCTCTATCGCAGTTTCCTGGTAGGAGTCAAACTGCTTCCACAATGAGCTGATTACAGAGAAAGCTGCAGCTTCAAAAGAGAAGAATTAGCACCCAGCATGCTCTTTCAGAAGAAAATTTAGCTGTTTCCAAAACATCTGATTTTTTCTTTCTTTCAGCCTGTGCTTGTCTAATGGGGAGAGACTAAGTGGCTTTAATTCTGTGAAGGCTTAAATGATATGTTTTATATGACGAAGTCATTCCCCTGCTGCAAATCCCTCCGTGGTATTCCACAGCTTTGAGAATAAGATCAAGTTTCTAAGCAGAGCACAGACAAGTATCTCCATGATTTGGCCCCTGTACTTCTCTAGCTCCTCAGTTTCCAAAGCATATCCACAAATTACTAGGCCTAGGTGTCTCCTGGGGAAAAACCTATTCTACAGACACAGAAATTCAGAATGTGTTGCAAATTCTAACAGCCACAAGCCCCACTCTCCACACCCAACTTCCAGGGGAGGAAGGACCCTGAGAAGGCTTCTGGGTAACCCTGTTTAACTCCCCCCCTCCCAATTTCACTTGGCCACAAGGCTTTTCTTCATCTAAATCTACTCTATAAAATCTATGTTTTATAATGATCTAAATATTTTTTATTTTTTAATTTCAGAAAAGCTGAATATCCTTATATTCTCAGAGCTTCAGGTATACCAAACTTGTTTGTTTCTTGAATTTCCTGTGTTCACTCTAAAATATTATCTTCCTATTACTATGTACTAATATCCAGCTACCTTTCAAAATTTAACTCCCATCCCCTTCTCATATGGGCCTTCCCAGTCAGGTACTCAGTCTAAGTCAGATTTCCCACCTCTACATTCCCATAGCAATCTCAACACATGGATATCTTCATCAGAGCACCTACCAATTGTACTGTGTATTTAACTTGCTTGTTTGCCTTCCTATAATAGATTTAAGATCTTCAAGGACAAGAAAGGTTTTCTTTGACCTTGTAATCTTATTTGACCTTGTAATCAGTTTGGGACTGACACATAACACTCTTTGAATAAATGATTGTTACATGTTAAACTGGACTCTATTTAGATACAATACCATTTTGGAAAATCTTAAGATTTTAGAAACCACTCTTGACTCATTACCCAAAACAGGGCTCTATTCAGATACAATGCTACTTTGCAAAGGCTTAGGTTTTAGAAACCACCCTTGATCCTGTCTCAAAACAAAACAAAACAAAACCACTTAATGAATCGCCTCTTTATGGTACAAGTGAAATACTGCTTATCAAAATACTTGGGACCAGAAGTGCTTCAGATTTGATTTCTTTTCAGATTTTTGAACTATTTGTATACACATAATGAGATATTCTGGAGAGGTGACCCAAGTCTAACCATGAAATTCACTTAATGTTTCACACATACCACACACACATACTGTGAAGGTAATTTTGTACAATACTTTTAACAATTTTGTGCATGAAGCAAAGTCTCATTCACTTCTGGTATTATACTGGCATTCAAAAAACTTTGTAATTTGGAGTACTTTGGATTTTGGATTTTCAGATTAGGGATGTTCAACACTTAAATATTACAGGTTTAATTATTATTTAACATTTGCCTTTTTTCGCTAGCACATGTTTCCCAAGGGTTCATATCATATTTTTCTGTTTTGTTTATGTCTCATTTGGACCTATTATTGTACCTGATACTCAATAAATGTTTTGAAAGGAATAAAATCTAGTATATAACAAGTGACTAAATCCAACAGCTTTTAATTCACCATTTCTCTATTTATCTTGTGCTATTTCTAAAATACACTTATCATAACCTCTACTGGATACATTATGTTTATTTTTTATTTAGTCCTTTTATTATTATAACTGCTGCTTCTTGAGAAAATAAGTCCCAATAATCAGTATGTGGCATATAGCATGCAGTCAATAGATATTTGTGGACTGACGAAAACTTCTAAAACAAAATCAAAATCTGCAGGAGGTACTATCATACTGATTATGTTATAAAAGCCCCAGAAGGCAGTAACTGTCTAAATTTCTGCAAATAACAGCTCATGTAACTAGGTACTTAATAAGGCAGTTTGATAACAAACCTCATTTCCTCATTCTTTTAGGGCTTGTGTTTTTCATGATGAATTTAACTTGTTTCATTTTTCTCATTTAGAAAGATTTTTTTTGAAGGAGAGTTCTATAGGCTAATGAAAAGATTACTTTTGTGCTTAGTTCCGAGATGAAACTGTAAGTGCTTACATCACATCTGAACTAGTGACTACACAGCATTCCATGGTCAAGATTGATTCATTAAGATTTCTTTGATTAGAAACAAGGTAAGAGAACTGTTGACTCTAAGACTGGTTAGCCCAGAAAACTGTTTTAATTCAATTTTAATGTAAAGAAATGAAAAGGAGGAAAAATAAGGAACCAGAAAAATACCACATTCTAACTCACATAACATCTCTCTTCTTTTCCTTCTCAAAATGTGCTTTACAGCTGTCTTCACAATAAACAAATTAACTAAAAAATTTAATTTTTATGTAAGAACTCACAAATTTATAATAAAATCTCATTCTTTCAGATATCCAAAATAAGTCAAATTAAAATCCAAAGTTTTATAAGATTTCACCTATTTTTCTAGTCTTAAAAGGGAATGCCAGGGATTTGGCTCAGTGGTGCAGCACCTGCCTGGCAAGCTTGAGGTCCTAAGTTCAGTTCCTGGTACCCCAAAAAGAAAGAAAAAAATAAAGGGATAATTATAGCCTTAGGCTTCAAGTTGATCTGAAACTCCCAAATAGAGTGTGTTCTATTTTTTATACGTCAAGTGGAAAAAATGGCCTATTCTCCTTTGGTCGCATATTCCAAAGGTCTCAATCCTGACGATTAAAAAGTTCTTAGATTTTTTTTTTTTCCCTTAAATATCTCCTATGTTAATCTACAACTGTTCTCTTATAATTTCTCTCGAAAGAAATTGCAGAATAGCCAAGTACTAAACTTCTGCCATATGATCATATATTAATTTTTTCTGGTGTTGTTCTCAAATTAATTAAAACTACATATGTTACCCTCATTTCTTTGAGCTATTTATCATACCACTACTTTGCTTCCACAGAAGTCATCATGGACTACCCAGAACAAAAGATTTTTCTCTGTGATGCTGGTTTCCCACCACAAATGCAAAAATAATGACTGACAACTGTTTCTTTCACAAGACAAAGGGGAAAAAAAGGTATGACTATACCCATAGTAGAATACTCATGTTAAATAATCAGAAATAATTAAGAACTGTACCAATAACCTCCAAGGGCCAAAAGTCAGAATGCAAAGTAAAATTAAGATATATTCCCATAGTTTATTTGATATCAGAGAAAATACTTCAGGTCTACTTCTTTACCTCTTACTTTAAAGCAGAGCCCACAAATCCAGTGAGTACCCTAACATACCTCCTCTTCTCCCTGGCTTCCACAGAGGAGTCTGCTGCAGTAGAGGAGGACACTGTGACACTTGTGATCCCATTGGCAGTGCTAGGTGGAGGACGATTGGTGATCACGCAAAGTGGGGTACTTGAGGAGACACTATCTGCTGTTTTCTCTGCTGTTGAGTCAGCCTGTGATTTGTAAGGAGTCCTGAAATTAAAAAGATACACGAGCAGAAGGAGAATGGTCAGGCATGCGACACAACAAAGCACTGGCACAGAGACAGGAAGGTTAGAGATAGGTCTAACGAGAGAATCTTCTTGCTCTGATTTTGTTTGTTGGTTCATTAATTCTGAGCTCTTAATCCAGAATAGTACTACTGTACACTTGGTCTGGTATCCTCTGCTTGAGGATTTATAAGAGAAATATTTTTGCTGAGATTAAAAACCAAACAAACAAAAGAAAAGCTATGGCACAAAGCAATAAAATAACATATGCAAAAGTGCTTTAAATGATTCCTCATTACCATCTGGCTTCCCTCCACACATGCACACAGAGACAGCATCTCTCTACACATGAAAAAGACACTAAGGTCACTTACGATATTAGTCTCCACCTGTCCCTTAATTCTTGGCAGTGGATGTTTTTCTGGTAGTCCTCAGCCTAGATTTGATGACCATCTTCTTAGATTATCCATTTGAAAATACTCTACAACCTCAGTATGCTTAGTTCTCCCTCACCTAGTTCAGCAACAGCAATCTCTTTCTATTCAAACAAACGCTCAATTTCTATATTCATAACTGCATAAGTGAGAAACTGAAACAAAAACAAAATAGGATTCTGCATGTACCCTTAACTGTAGACTTTTAACAGCAAGCTGTATAATTAAACTCATTTATGTGAAAACAAGATCTTTGTTTCTTAACAAAGAGTAAGGAGCAACCATTGGCTCTCCACCCAAAAAGCTATCATTTGTGATGTCACAGCTTGTTGCTGGGGTAACAGAGATCCAAAATTGATACAGTATTCAGAGATGGGAAAAGCAATGAAAAGCATGAATGTTAAAAATCTGTTTTGCACCTGACAGTTATTACCAGAAATATGTGCAAGTAGCTGCAAACTGGTTTCCAAACAATAAGAATAAGCATAAAAGAAATAATCAGATCATAAAATCCAAATATAATACCTAGACACACTATGAAATTGGAATACTTTTAAAGATGAAGTGGTATCCATACCATACAAGCTACTTCTCCAGAAGCACTGAGAATGTGAAATTTTACATTTGTTTTCTAATGTAAAAACTGAAGGGAAATAATTTCTCAGGATTTTTAGTCTATAGGAAATACTAATAAAATTACCCAGAAACATAGCTATCAAAAATTATCCAAGCGGGGGATAGTGGTGCACATCTGTAATCCCAGCACTTGAGAGGCAGGAGGATCACCATGAGTTTGAGGTCATTCCAAGGTATGCCTGTAATGTCAGCTACTCAGAAGGCTGAACCCAAGAATTTGAGGCCATCCAAGCAAAAATGGAAGACCTCAACTCAAAAAACAAAATAAAACAAAAACAAGAACTTTTATGCTAAAGGCTTACCTGAAAAAAATGTTTTAGTTTAATAACATTTTCGCCTGTCTACAATTTCTTAAGCTGTTGAAATGCCAGAGGTTTTAGGTTTTGTTTTATTTTACAATAGGGTTTTTACTATTATTTTGAAATGCGGTATAATTTCTTTTTACTATGCAGTAGAGATCAAACTCAAGGCCTCCTACTTGCTAGCCAAGTGCTCTACTATTGAGCTGTGTTTCCTAGCCTGAAATGTACTATGATTTTACAAGCAGATTGTTAGGAGCAAAACAGTACAAACTCCAGAGCAGGGATCAGAGGCTGTATAATGGAGTAGATAAATGTGGGACCACTTGGAATTAAATTTAAGCCAATTTAACTCTCTAATCTCTTTATCTCTAAAATAAGGGTAACAATATCCTAACATTCAGGGTTCTTATGAAAATTAAGTAATGTACATAGAACACCTAACATAATGCTTAGAATAGAATATAAATCCAGTAGAAACAAAGTAGTGCCAAAATAGGTAAAAGCCTAAATGGCCAAATCTGGATTCAATCCTGCCTATTCCTCATTAGAAGTGATCTTGGGCTAGTGAGTAGGCTTTGGGTCTCAGTTTCCTCATCTGTAAGAGTAATATTTCATATCCTAGGGAGCTCTTTCTGAGACTGTAAGTAATATACATGTATCTGAAGCAGCTAATTGCCTACCCCATATCTATAGTCCCTTTCTTCCTTACTAACAAAATCTCTGCATTACTGAGGGTAACGGTGTACCTATTAAAAATCCATACTCCCAAAGTCTCCCAGAATGCTGGCAGTATCCAAAAAAGATGAATAATGGGAAACTAGCACTCCTGAGAAAATTCTCAGTTCACAGGCGCTCCCTTTTTGCCTGCTCTTCCCTTGCTTGTGCTTCCTGCCTAGAATGCAGCCTGAATGGCTAGAGCTACAGCAGTTATTTTGGACCATGAAATAAAAGCCCTAATATAAAGATTACAGAGCAGAAAAACTGATAAAACCTGGATCCTTTAATGACTTTGGAGCTATTTTGTAGCACTATTTCTGAACTTTTAGGTGTAATAAAAAAATAAAATTGTTTATCTTATGTGGATTTACTATTACACATAAGTAACCCAAACCCCAGTGTAATTTCTGTCTAGTACCTAACCCAGGGCCTGTCACATAACAGGATTCAATAAATGAGAGCTGTATTTTATTTTTACCCAGTTTCAGCTCTTAGCAGTTAATCAAGAACTCCTCTGTTTTTGTTTCTTCATCTATGATGCTAACATTTACATTTGTGCAGCTCAATCAACATATGGACCGAGTAAACTTCTACCTAATAATCTGTCCTTTCTCCAAAGTGACTGGATTATAAGAATATAATTAATTTCTACATAATTATACAGTGTTATTAATAATAATCCATCACAAACCTGTCCTTCCTGGACAAATTAATGATCCTATTTGATTTAGGGAAGAAATCTAGTAGACGGACAAATATCACTCAAATACCACCATAACTGGTGTTCTTGCACCAATACTATCATTATAAACATTTTCTTCATTTTCTTTGTGTCAACTGTAGGGACAGGATCCACAAAAGCCATACCCCAAAAAGCAAAAAGGCCTCTGAACAGACAAAAAGGATTAAAAACCAGTTAAAACTGCAGTTAAAATCTTGCTGTACTTTCACAATAAGACTCTGCCTATACTGCCCTCAGATGAACTAGGAACCAAGCAGATTCTGCTCCCAGAACACAGGTCAGACAAACACAAATCTTTCCCTTCCCACAGTGTTCCCAGAAAAACATTTTCATTGGCAGAAAGGTGTAAAAGGCTTTTGGAACGTAAGTTAGTTTTCCTTGCAATTTGGGTCTCTATGCCAACTTCCAAAATGACTAAATACATGAGATTTCTACTTATAATCAGTAGAAAATTAATATAAGTAAATTACAGAAGTATTTTTAATATTTAGTTTTGTACAACAGGTTTGACCTCTAGTTATCACAACCAGTAAGCATGTTAAGGAGATGAAAGCAGCAATGATAAGTTGACCCTTGAACACCAAGTACAATGATACACATTCCTCGTTATTCAGTAAGTAATTGTTGACTAATGAAAGCTAAAACAAAAGCACCTTCATTAACTTACGGGACATTTTCACAGGAATTCAAACTAGGTTCTACAGTGACAAAACCTCTTTGGTTCAAATCCTGAACCCATAGGCATTATAATCCCAGCGGCATTAACTTTGATGAATGCAACTCAAATGGCTCCAAGAAGCCTTACCTGCCATGTTGTACTGATGCAGTAGTGTTTGCACTGATTGGTGCAGAGCAAGAAGAGGCAGGTTGCCACTGGCTGCACCGAGAGGTAGATGAACCAATGGTAATGGGTGAGGTAGCAGGAGATGAATTGCGATTGGCTGAAATGTAGGGACTTGAGGGGTCACTACTTCTACCAAATGAAGCACTGCAAAACAGCACACAGTCACTTTCTTCAGGACACGCTGTTTACTCACCATTTCCCAGTACCACCTGCCCACCCAGATTGTGCACTTAAAAGGGATGTAGATCAAAGAGAAGGTATGATGACTGGGAAATGGGGTGATCAACTCCAGCTGGAGGTGGGTCACTGGTAGTAAGTAGGCAATCATCCATCCTCTTTGAAGGATGATCTTTTGGTTAATCACCCAAAGAAGGAAAGGAGGAGAGATGATATTTAACAAGAGAAATCAGGAAAGTAGAATATACGGTAAGGTAGAAACCAAGAAAGGGAAATGATAGAAAATAGAATAGTTCTATTAGAAAACAATAAATCCCAACGAGCCAAGGCAAAAGAACATGCAACCCCAAATGTCTCCTTGATACAGAAGCAGCACTGCAAAAGCCAAAGTAAGAACAAAGAATTTGGAGCGATTTTAGAGATTTAAAATTAAGAAGTAGAGAAGAGTCAAGAAGCTCTGTGAAATAATGACTCTAGGTACTGGACACAGTTATTTAGCTTAAAGCAAAAAGTGCCTTTGGGAGTACGTAAAGCTTTAAGTCTAGAAGGCAATGTTGTAATGGGCAATAAAAGGCAACTTTTCTTTGTTTCAACTGAAGACAGATAAGAACCACCTCAACTTCAGCAAAAATTTTGAGCTCAATTTTTAAAAATTACTTCCTATCATAGTAATGAGATACTTGAAGGGGGTGATCAAAACAAACTCCAAAGCCTTTTCTGGGAAAGAGGTACTTTATTGGGCCATTTGAAATGAATTCCTTACCTGCTTACAGGTAAGAGATGACAGAAAATAGAAGGTACACCAGGGTTTGGCACAGTTGGGGAAAAACAAAGTCCTATTTGCACTTTCTGTTTTAAAAAAGATGACAGCATACAATTTTTCTTCTTGAAAAGATCATAGGATAGGATTTTATAAAATCAAAACATACCTGCGGGTTATAGAAGATGAACTTTGGGAATCCTAGGTTTGAAACGAATTGTAGATTATTTCCCCTAAAAGTGCTCACATAATTAAGCACACCTTCCACTCTTAATAGAGGAGTCCTTCCTTGCTTTCTTTACCATAACTTTATCAAACTACATTTATCAAACCAAATGCCCCTCAACTCATTTGTTAACAGTTTGGGTCATGAAAATCAACTGCTTCACCACAAAATAACTCCATGCCTGGAAATTAAATGGCAGCTTTCTCTTCCCTAGATCTAGAATACTGTTTTCTTGTCTTAGACTCCACTGTAAAGAACAGTAATATATCTAGGTAAACCAAATACTTTGCCTTTAAGACAAATAGTTGATAGCTTCATAAAGCCAAAAGCATCTTGTTTGTATAATGAAGAGCCAGTGAGATCACTGAACTTACTTGTCTACTTTCAAAATTGAGCCCTTTCTTACAGGATATACTTGTAGAACTGAAAAACATTAAAAGGCAATAGTACTTGTTTCTTTTTGGTTTGTTTGTTTGTTTGTTTTCGGTACCGGGAATCGAACTCACGACCTTGCACTTGCCAGGCAGGCGCTGTGCCGCTGAGCTAAATCCCCAGCCCCAGTACTTGTTTCTTTTATAGCTTATTCTTTCCCACGTTCAAACATTAACTATTTGACAAGAGTCTTCCTGTCAAGTGGAAGTAAGTTTTGATGCTAAATAGTTAATCTGTTCACACAGTCTACAGCCAAGGTCTGCTTCTAAGGTAGCCAACCAGTCATCGAGAAAACCTAATGATGGAGGACAGGAAGGGCAGTTTAGAGGGGTTAAATGGAAGTGAAGAAAGAATTGAAAGTAAGCAATGAAAAATAGATTCTTCCACATCAGCAGCAAAGTTCTAACTAAAACATTATGTATATCTTGTAGCTTAATGGTTCTGGCAAAGGTGCTTTGTTTGCTGGGTAGTACATGGCAAAGAAAATAACTGCAGAAAAGGGAATATAGATGAGAAAAGAAGGAAACCCATGTACCTTCTCTGCATCACACTTGCGAGTTTCACATCTTGATGGATCTGAGGGCCATTAAAGTCATAAAAAAAAAAACTCAAGTCCCTAAATTAATAGGCTTCAATTGAAATGTATTTAATGCAACAGAAAACTATTCCCATTTCCCATCCCTTACCACCCTACAGTGTCCCTCCCTTCCTCCCACAAAACTATAAAGTTTTGAGATGGGAACTACTGTAGTTTTAGTAAAAGGATAGCCAGCTACTTGGACAAGGGTGTTTTAAGTTCAGTCGTGCCCAGAGATTACTAGAAGTCACTTCTGATTGAAGATTTTAATAGGACTGACAGGATGGAGTATAAAGTCAGGTCTTTGGTGAGAATTTGGAATTAGATTACTTTAATTCAGTTATTGAAAGAACAAATTAAGTTTAATTTTAAATTAGTCAAGATGTTAATTCCAAATCTAACACCAATTCATTTGTTGATTCATTTGTGTGGTGCTAATTAGATATTAAAAGGCATGCAATTATTACCCAGATTCCCATGGCCGGAGTGAAGGAAAATGATCTCCCACCCCTCTGCACCTGGTACCTTTTCAAGTAGGTTGACACATAAGTGGAAGGAGCCGCTGTCTGTGGGGCTTCACCTCCCTTTGTTTCATCCCTCCACAGCTGCCGGGTGTAAGAGCCACTCCTCACCAGATTCACAGCTGACTCTCTGTACAGGGTGAAGGAAAACAAACAAAACATCGATTTCCACTACTCACTTTGTTCATAATATAATACAAGCAGGAAAAAAACAGCCAGTAGCAAATTGTAACATGGTTAAAGAAACAGATATATCTTTTGAGTGACTGTATGTTTTATATACATATTTTTTGTATAAATAGAGGATAATATTATTATCTGCTTTCTTTTATCAACTTCAAAGCCAACTAATTTCAACAGGTACCAAATTTCTCATATCAATGCCTTTACCCTTCTGTACTGAGAAGTTACTTTTGTTCCTTATTTTAAAATCACCCTGTAATCAGTCCCCAGTGGTAGGTTGCTCATAAGTAGAGAAAGGGTCGATGAGAGAGATTCAGAAAACTGTCACCAGGTGAAGAGGTTATTACAGAAGGGGAAACGTGAGGAGGACTTACTTGGAGCCTATTTAGCATTATAAATGAGAAGGCATCCAGGAAGGGGCAGTAGTAGAATGTCAGAACCACAACTGATAACTTAGGGTCTTTGCTAGACGATCATGGGTCTCCAGGCTCCACAAGGTTTTCTCGAACTATCCTTCTCAAACTTTAACATACTTGAATCACCTAGGAAATTTTGTTGAAATGCAGCCTCCGAATCAGCAGTTCTAAGAATGGACCTGAGGTACTGTGGTTCTACCATGTTGCCACTTGCTGGCAAGATGGCAGGCTGGAAAACCAACCTCAAGAAGGAAGGTTCTAGATTAGGCTGTGCCCTGAGATGCACCAATACTTCACAATCTCTATATTCATTTTAACTAAAGAAAGCTTTAAATTTTACCTACTTACAAATAAGAAGTTGATCAATTCAGGTATACACATTGACTATGAACATATTATATACCCGGTAGATAGCGTGCTAGGGAGTAGAAGTCCTTGAGAAACCACACAGACAGATCCTTCCTTTACTGAGCCTCCTGTGGACTAAAATTAACCCACACTTGCAAGGGTCCAGGAAGACATTTCAAAGGCCATGATATCTAAGTCGGAATTTGATAGATGAAGAACTGGAAAGCAAGAGTCATGGTAGGGAGATGTATTCTAAGCAAAAGGAACACAAAATTCATAATGTGCTAAGGACACCTAGGGAAAAGGTCAGAGGGGCCTGGCCAGGATATCACTACGTCAGAAGAGCTAAAAGGAGCATCTTTAGTTTGTATTAGGATTACCTGTTCTCCTTTTCTTCAATGTCACTTGTGCTACTGAGCCGCCGGGGAGCTAGTGAACTAAAATAGCTCTTATTTTCTCTTTCCTGCAAAATAAAAGTAAGTAAACCTAGTGACACAGCATATGTCATTTTGGGTAAAGAAGCAGGACATAATGCACCCACAATAATATTATATCTGGACTCAACACTAATCCTATTTAGAGTCATATTACAAAATATTATTTCAAAAGCTTATTCCTAATTTTTCTCCATTAAATCTCCCCATGAAGAGAAATAATTCTCATGGGGAAAGTCAGATGATCCAATAAAGAAAAGTGCACAAATTACACAAAGCAGCAACCCCACAGTGGAGCACACCTGTAATCCCAGCACTTGGGAAGCTGTGGCAGGAGGATTGCCATGAGTTTGAGACCAGTCTGGGCTACGGAGTGAGACCCTGTCACAACATCAACAATAAAAAAAAGCAGCCCTGCCAAGAAAGAGGAGGAGCTTTTGAAAAGCTACAGAGGGCTCTACTCTAATGTTCTTTATGAAATTAGCCTGATTTAGTCTCCAGCATCTTTTCTTGAAATGCAGCTTCCTTTGGGACATGCACAATAAATATGCTGCAGTATTAACCCAACTAATAAGCCTCATTTCTTCCAGTAGTCTTGAGAAATGCCAGGTAGAGCAAGACCCTGATGAATGTAATCATTATGTACTACAAATATATACTAATAAAAATTATTTTAAAAGATAGAACAAGAGGCATATGACATGGGAGACCTGACCCAGAGAAGATCACCATGCAAGCCTCACAAAGTCTAAAACCAAATGAATACATGGATGAACCATTTGTGATTGTGCTTCTATGAATAAAACAATCAAAAGTTTAAAATCTTTAAATGCTAATGTGCCTGAGCTTCATTAGGATACAAAGCCCAACTAAGAAACTTTGCTTCTAAACATCAAAGGAAGAAATTTCTGTGATTGGTTCAAAAGAATGATTGGACCACATCCAATTTTTTCGTATCTGCTGTTGTAAGAGGTTAAATACAACTGAACATAAGGTAAACCTCATGGTATATTTAGGAAACGCATATTTAAAGCTTTTTTTCTGTTTTGGCCAAGCAAGTAACTACTTGATTAAGTTATCAATGTGCCTTTAAAACCTTTGTAGTTCCACAGTAAACTTAGGGACTAAAAAATACTTTATTTGTTGCCAAGACTGAGCTTTCACAAATGTTGTGGTTTTTATTTAGATGTCTCCCCAAGGCCTCACGTGCTCACAGATGGGGCTTTAGGGGTAACTGGATCATGTGTGGATGATGGACTTACTGAAGAGGGAAGACCCACCCTGCGGGTGGGTGGCACCAACCGATAGATTTGTAGCCTGGATGGAATAAAAAGAGAAGGAAGAAGGAAGTCTCATTGCTTCTCTGCCAGGCTGCCCTGCCTTGGAGCCAGCCAACTATGGACTGAAACCTCTACAAATTGTGAGCTAAATAAACCTTTCCTCCTTTAACTTTGGTTATTGAGTATTTTGTCTCAGCAACAAGAAAAGTAACTAAGACAATGGAACAAAACTGTTTTGGCTTTTCCCCACATCCCACTCAAACTACACCTTATCTTTGTTGTCCAGTAGAGCAGAGATCCGAGGGCTTGAAGAGGAGCGGTAGATGGAGGTGCTTCGGTCCCTTAAAGCATCCCTGGAATTGGCCACTTCACTCAGCATGTTGTGGCTGCCAGTTTTTCTGAGACCCAATCTCCATGAAGAAGGAGATTCATCTTTGGCCTCTTCTGGCTTGTTAAAAAGGCTGGAGGAGAACTAAGATGGGAGAAGCAAAGAAGAAGAGAAAGAAGAACCCTAATGACTCATTCTGTTTCAGCCTAGGTGCCTTTTCCACACTTAACCAGGTTTAGTGAGGCAACATAAAAGGCAGTACCAAAAGAATAAAACCACAGCAGGCTTTCTGTCAATATGTCCTCCCCACCTGGCAGGCCCTAATCACTCCCCAAGGGTCTCTTTCTCCCTAAGCCAGAAACAGCCTCAGATTCTTTTCACAGTGCTCCTATCTGACAGGCTTGCTCTGAGAAATAAAATGCTATTTGCTCTCCTTATTCAGCTAGTACTGACCTGGAGCACTACAAACTGTGTTCTGGAGAGATATCTTCTCCTGCCTTACTGGGTAACTGGAAATAAGATACTTTGCTTCTCTAGATCTCAACATGCTCATCTGTAAATTGGTATTAATGAGCTTAATTCCTCCCTGGAATATGTGGAATCTGAGAAAACAAGATAAGCTAATATATAAATATGTTTGAAGGTATTATATGTGATAAGTTGATTTCAGTCAATGCTAATAAAAAAGATTGTAGGCCACTCCATACAAACTGTAACTATCTAATCTCAAAAGTAACTTATTTGATGTTGAGCAGTAGTTCCAAGACCTTTAGATTTCACTGAGCACAAAACTTAAAAAAATTTAGAAGTCAAGGTCATCTTTTTTTATCATGGCTAGAGAGAACATTGTCAAAAAAAGATGAACATCATACCATCAGTCATTCCATTAAAAAGAACAAAGAATAATACCAGAAAAAAACCCTTCAGGGGTGGGGGTGTAGCATAGTGGTAGAGCACTTGCCTAGCTTGTGCAAGGCCCTGGGTTAAATCCCCAGCACAGCAAAAAAAGAGAAAGAATGAATGAATGAATGAGGGAGGGAGGGAGAGAAGGAAATAAAGAGAGGGAGAAAGAGGTGCTCCTACCTGACAGGAGAAGGGGAGAGAGAGAGAACGGAAGCTAGCTAGCTTACATTGTCTTTAATTATAAACCAGGGAAACATCATAAACTAGCTTTAGCCCAAGGACCACTTTGGGGTATAATTGGTTTTTGAAACACCAACCAACAAACAGCCCCTTCATAGGGTATGGGGACCTTTGCAAGAAGGTTTCAGTTGTTCTCCCAATACCAGGCATCTCCTCTGCCTGGTACAGTGAAAGTGCTATAAAGTATTAAGTCACTCTCTCCAACTCAGACTTTTTTCTCTTCAAGCATCAGAATATAGATACTTACGTGCTCCTTCCCTTTTACAAGATACCTGATCCAAGAGGAATCTTTTCCTCTTTCCCAGTATTATTCTGGCAAAGTAGAATAATTACTGTGTGTGTGTTTTTTTAATTTAGTATGTTTTTAAAAAATAGGAAGTCTGGTCACATCTGAAAGTAGTGGCAGTATATGAGGTCCAAGAAAATGACTAAACATCAAGCAAGACTGCAGTCTACCTGAAATCTGCTCAATGATTTACAATAATGCTTCTAGGAATAAATAAGTAACTGGGCCTTGGTCCCTCATTTCCACAAGGATTCTATTAGCCTATCTTTCTAATTCATGAGGAACTTAGAAGATCAAGTTAATATCTCTAAAATTTAACATCTCTAAAATTAGTGCACTTTTCAACAACTTCATTTCAAAGAATTCAGATCTATTTTTAACCTCGAGACTAATTTTACACTTTGAGGAGCCAGAGTCACCATTCAACTTGGTCTTGCTGGCCTACAGGTTCTCAGAGGCCTGCACAAAGCTGAAGCAATAAATGGACCAACTAGAGACTACTCTTAAGTGAAATAAATCAGATTCACATGTGTTAATACCGTATTGTCTCCCTAGTGTAAGAACCTGAAAGAGTAAATAAAATCTGAAAGCTACAATAGTGACTGTAAAAGGGAAAGAAATGGCTCAAAGTGAAGGAACAACTAGGATGAGGGAAAGGAGAAAATGAAGAAGAAAGGGAAAAAATATATATGTATATACACAGGATAGCTGGGACAATTGTATAGCTGATTTCTACTGGTCTATTAAAAGGAACAGTTAATGCTTAAATTGTTTTCTTCTTTTTAATTCTTCTTTGACCAATTTTGCATGCTTATATCCAGTAATCTGAACAAGTAATTTGAAGACAACAATATGTAATATAACTACTGTTGAATTCTTATCTTGTTTAGTGAAATTCTGTATTTTTTTTTATTATTTTTTATTCTCTTTAAAAATATTTTTTTTAAAGTTGGAGCAGGACATGTCTCTGGTATTTGAATAAGTTCTTTCTATTTCTGCCCTCTTCCCATCAAAGCATAAAGACTTTACTCATGAAAGTAAAGTTTTAATAAGTTGAAAGAGGAAATTAGTCATCAAAACAAATCTAGATTCTGTATATCTTCCTAGATCAGTCTAAACTTTACACCTAGTTATCTTAACCTCAGAAATAAGGAAAACAGACAAATGACAAAATTTCTATGGTCCAGACTATGCTACCCTATGTGGTCTTCACACATTTGTGGCTAAATTATTTATACTGCACTTTGGTGGCCAAATAATTATTGATGGTTTATAAGCTTTAGGGAGCAATATTATGGAATATCTGTGCCCCTCCAAAACTCAGACATTGGAGCTGTAACCCATATTGTGACTTAATTTGGAGAAGGGGCCTATGAGGAGCTAGGTTATGAGGTTAGCAAGGTCCACAGGGTGGGACACTAATCCAACAAGTCTGGTACCAAGAAGAGGAAGATGCACCAGAGCTCCATCTCTCTCTACCATGGCAAAATGCAACAAGAAGGTGCCCTCTTCAAGCCAGAAAAAGAGCCTTTGCAAGGAACTGAACCCACCAGTAAATGTATCTGGGACTTCCCAGCCTCCAGAACTGGATGCACAGTATGTGGTATTTTGTTAGGGAAAAACTAAGACAGTCAAAAATATATCTTTATTGTTTTACAAGAAGGTATCATTGAGGCCTTTCCAAATGTGTTATTGCACTAGGGGGAAATATAATACCCAAATTAATTCCAGAGTACTCACTCTCCTAGCAGAAGAGGCAGAGAAGGTATTCTGAGCTGGCGCTGATATCTGCTCTGTGCTACTACTCTTGCTTTCAGAATTGGAATGATTGACAATGGCTTCAGGCTTTTTATCTGTTAAGACAAGAGAAATAATAAGTATGAAAATCTTACTTTTGTGTATCGTGTCTTTTACAGCTAAAAGAAAAGGTTTTCTCACTATCAAAACAGATTATCAGGGCCATGTAATACCTTCACTCAAACTAGGATGAACTCTAGCTACTGTGGGCAGAAGAAAATCATATCAACAATTTTCCCTTGGTAGACCCCAAATCCAATTTTCAGATGAAAACAGAAAACTGTCTCTATATTATTACTTATATAGAAAAATTCATTAGTAAGTACTTATGAAGAATCCATTCTGTGTTTTAGAAGAGCTGGGCAAGAATTACAGAAAAAAGAAGATAGACCTTGCTTTCATGGTAATTACAATTAAGAGAAAGAGGTAAGACACACTGTAATAATAACACATAATCATATATTATTCAGGTATTGAGTTGGTTGATTCGAGTCAACAAGTGCTGTAAGATTTCAGAAAAGAGGTAGATCCTCTGAGGTAGGAAACAATAAGGAGAGCCGCTACACAGTCAGTGTTTGCCAGAAAAATAAAACCATGGAGGCAGATGCAAGAAAACACCGATTGGCAGGTGAAGAGGAAGAAAGGACATGGATAATGGCTTAGAAATCAAAATACATACTCTATTGGTCAGTGATGGGGCTAGCATATTCCAAAAATAATGAGAATTCTCGGGGTTACAATAGGAAATAAAGGCAGTAAAGTTTATAAAGGATGCAGGTTAAATTACAGAGCCAAACCAAAGTCACATAACATAAAGAGGAGTCATCCAACTCAGTGGGGTCACCAATCAGAAAGCTGTCTATTTTACGTATTATTGCATACTAAGGAACTAACACAGTGCTTGCACATACTGGGTACTGGTTCTGGTCTATGTACTCGGGAATCAGAGCCCTAGAGTTATCCATGAGTTATGTGACAATTTTAAGCCACATTGTGTGTGATGCTGGGCAAGATATGTATCACATTTGAACACTTATTCTCACATATTAATCAGAGGTTTTAATTCTTGCCTTATGAGAATCTGTTGTGATCAGGGTTTACAAGAGAAAAGATTTAATATAGGACACACAATTTACAGGATTATTTTATAATGTTCACCCAGAAGGTCAAACGTAAAAGAGAGTGGGAAATCTGTTCACACACCGGAGACCCAAAGAATCCAGCTGAGGGCCTGCATCCCATGGCAATGTCCTCCACTAGTCCAATTGGAGGCCTAGAGCCCACAACGTCTTATGGAAGTCTGTATCAAGGATCTGCACTGGAAAGGCTCAGTCAGTGGTGGAAGCTAGAAAGTCTGTGCCAGTGGGATGAAGGATCTGTGCCAGCAGGCTGAGGGATCTGCATTGGAGCAAGGAAGCGACACTCAAAGTAAGGAACAGAGCTCCTCCAAAGAGAACTGCAGCCATCTTCAGGAACAACGAGCACCCGAGCTCCTCTGATGATGACGACAGCAGAGTTCATATCAGGAAAGCCAGTGTAACACGCTTCTCCAGGAGAATCAACAGCACACCCTCTTCCCCCGCAGTTCTGCTTTTACACTGCTGGCAACAATCCTCAGGTGGGCCTTCTACACCCAGCACCATGCTGACTCAGTTCAGATGGGTGTTACAAATTGACCACCAGTTGTCAATCCACAAAATTTTTATAAAAATTAGAGATGTTTTTAAATTTGCATAGCTCACGGGCTACAACACGTCCCTTGTGTTATTGTTGTTATATTTTTGTGGTTATTATGAATATTCAAGGGATTCTTGAAATATTGTTGGAATATCTGTAGCTTCAAGAAATCGAGCTTACTATCCAAATGTGGTAGATTATTACAATGATAGCTCTCGACAAATCACACCTCCCTGAATCTATACCTTTAAGAAGTGTCTTTTCATAATGACTCTGGGCTTGGCCTGGTAACTTGCTATTGCCACTGGTCCATTAGTATATGTGATACAACTAGAGGCTTGGAAAGTGCTTGTACACTGAGATTTGCCTTCTCTGTTTCTGGATTCCAGCTGCCACTTGAAGTAACAGCCACTAGCCTACTTGATGATAGAAGACACACAGCCCACTTGCCCTAAACATCCTAGCTAGCCACCAGCAGGTGAGTAATGCCATCTGGTTCCAGCCATCCCTTCACCTGATTTACCAAGTGACCATGCAAACATGGATGAGCCCAGTATTGCCATGAGGAGAAACACAAGCCATCCAGCTAATGTCTCCCCAAATTATCAATCTATAGAATTGGGTGCACATAAGGAGTTATTTCAAGCCACCAAGTTTGAGGATGGATGATTATGCAGCAGTAGATAACTGATACACAAAATATTTTAAACAGAAATTCTAAATCAAAATGCTTACATTGACTTCAAAATATAATTCATATTCTTTACTATAAAATTTATATGTAAGAAATATGAAAACTATCCATTTTATGAGGTTGTATCTGCGAATCTTTAAAAATGAGATAAATATACCCAACAAATATGTGCTTAGTACACAGATTGTGACAGGCAACATCTGGAAAGGTTAAGGTATAACCCATTTCCTTGCACTTTTCCAGTTTACTCAGCACCTACCATATAGAGGCCTTGTGCTAGGACTATGGCATATAAAATGATGAACAACACACATATGCTTCCACAACTTGCCAGTGGAGGAAGAGCAAATGAATGAGAAAAAGCAGAAATTATTCAAATACTAAGAAGCAGAAAATTAAAAAAA